GAAATACTTATCAAGTTTATTTTATTTTTTAAATTTTAATGTGGAAACTCAATTTTTTCAAGACCATTTCAAGGCCATATCAAGACCAGTATTTTTCCAACAGCTGTGCAAGGCTACTTTGTGACAACAAATATATATATGTTTATTTCTAGGTTTTCTATTCTAATCTTTGTGCCCATAAAACGTGTAATTACTGTAGCTTTATATTAAATCTTGATAGACAACAGGGAAACTCCTGCATTTTTTTTTTTAACTATTGTACCTTTTCAATTCTATATATGTTTTAGAAAGAAACTGTCATGTTCCACAAAGAAACCTTTTGCAATTTTAATTCAGATTGTCCTGGATATTTAAATCAATTTGGTGAGAACTGTAGTTTTTATAATAGTAAACACTCCAATCCATGAACATAGTACATACTGTCACTTATTTAGATCTTCATTTATTTCTGTACTGTTGCTATTGGCTGATTTTTTTGTTTGTTTTGTTTCCCCTTTCTATGACTCAGTATGTATTTTATTTCCAGTATAGGAAAATAGGAAAATCAAGCCAATTAAAATAATAAAAGCAACAACATTTTTAAAGTATTAAAGTTTTAAATTCTACACATTTTTGACATATGACTGTGTACAGTATGCCAGCTTTTCCAAATATTTCTTAGGGATTGCATATTATGAGCAGTTCATTTAACCTATAAACCCATTTGCACCTGGACCTTGATGAAATCCAGAATCTGCTGCTATGCTAGGATACTAAGTAGGTATTCCTTGGGAAAGTGACATATTATTTAATATAATTTAAACATAGGCTATTAGATATGGATATTTGAAAACTCATGAAAGTATTGGTTAATGGCTAACTAGTTAAAAAAAATTACACTAAAACAAAGATAAGACTTTAAAATTACTGAGCCTTTTTGCAGTTTTTCACAAAGTTACAATATATGTAATTTTTATATGTGCGCTCTGTAGTCATACTGCTTGGGTTTGTGTTTTGCTCTGTATCTTACTGTGTGTTTGAGTTTCAAGTTATTTAACTTAGAATTTCAGTTACCTCAATCTGTAAAATTGACTTTGTAGTGATACTTAGAAGGTTATTGTGAGAATTAAGAATATAATCTATGTTAATGCTCTACAACACATAAGCACATAATAAAATTAATATTAATAATAATATTAGTGATTGATAAATACTGAGCAATAATGAACAGATATTTTTCTATATACTTCCTGTCATAAAAGCAAGTTAAAATTGTTGAAGTTAATGTATTTTCTTTGTGCCCAGGGGAGTATTTGAAACAGAGTTCTTTAAATAATCTGCTTTGGAGGGGAAAGAACAAACTTTAAAAACACATACGTTCTGGCATATATTGTGAAATATTCAATAATACAGAAAAAATACTCAAATATGTTTCATATTTTATTAAGTTTTCAGAATTATGGTATATATCTTGACAATTTAATCATCATAGTTTCTCTAACATACTTGAAAACATAATTTCATTGAAAATTTAGATTTAAAATACATTCTTGTATTTAAATCAGATAATCCATCACTCTGTTTCATTTAAAATAAAAAAACAAACCAAACCTGTTGCCATCAAGTAGATTCCAACTCACAGAACTGTCCCATAGAGTTTCCAACGAGCGCCTGGTGGATTCAAACTGCCGACCTTTTGGTTAGCATTCATAGCACTTAACCACTATGCCACCAGGGTTTCCTCAGTTAAAATAGAAGTATAAAATTATAGTTTCAAATTTTTAATTACAAATATTTGGTGAGTATAAAATTTTGTCATTTATTTAAAAAGTTACTTATAAAGTTTTATGATAAACTGATATTTCACCACTCTGTAAAAAAAAAATTAGGTAAAAGAGAAAATATAAAAGCATTTCATTCTTGCCTTTGATCCATAAGAAATCCAATGGAGGTCAAAGTCAGGATAATGAAGCAAATCCTCAGAAGGAGAGTGACCTGTGATAACACCTGTGAAACAAGCACAGAGACCAATGGATCCTTCAGAAGTGTTTTTAGAAGGAACACTAGAATTTAAAGCTGACAAGAAAATAGCCCTAAATTTTATTTTATATTGCAGCATTTATCACAAACTCTTCTCAAGTAGATTGAATATGCAGAGGGCATTTTGGTTTTCCTAATGTCATTTAGTTACTTGTTGGACACTTGGTGAATGAATTAGACAATTCCACAATGATGATTCACATTAGATGCTCTTTCAAAAAGTTCTCCTGTAAAGTTTTGAGTTTCCCAGTTCTTTGAATCATGTGTGCCCTCACATAGGGAAAAATCACTCACATTTTTATGAATAAATACCACATTCCAAAACCTATTTTTAATATCGCCATTTCTTTGTGGTCTCAAACCCAAGGATTTCCTTAATACTGACAGCCGAAACATATTTAAAATAGAATGTGTTTGGGAATGCAAATATATATATATGTATGAAAGAGATTTTACACTGACACACACTCACATATGTATTTGATGAAATCTATATATTCATATAAACATATCAAGTTATCTTTTGAATTATTATAACAAAAGTAACATATTTCCATGTCATAAATTATAAATTATGCAATTTATTTACATGTTAAATTTTAATAATGTCTATTAAGCTTCTATTATTTCCTAGCTTCCATTCTATGTGTTTCATGCATATTATTTCTTTTTATATTCCCAATGAACTTGCAGAGTAAGTATCATCATATCTGTGTTACACATGAAAACAAAACAAACTTGAGAACCAGAGGATTAAGTAGATTTTCCACCATCACAAAGCTGATAAATGGTGGCTCTGAAATTCAAAAGAGGACTGCCTGATCCCATAGTGTGACGATGGTAGAAGACAGAAGAACCACAAACTTAGAGGAGCCATTAGCAGAGATCTAAGTTGAGGTTACATAGCCAAGGTTGAGAGTAGAATGAATACAGCATCAGATTAAAGGTAGATCGGGAAAAACAAGGAATTCCATACACAGCCTTTGTAACTTCTGATGTGAAGACAGAAGTTTTGCTCACATGCCAGC